ATGGAAGGATTGTGGAGATCATGAGAGCGTACATAGTAGCGAAGGCAATGGGCATCACAGCGATTGGATAAGAATGGAACGTTCGCTTCTGGATAGAGGCTCTCGACAGGGGAAGAGTGAAAAGCACCAATGCATAAACGTAATCCTTGGTGATGAATGGGGTTAAGGCTAAAGAGAGTAGCAGGAGATGCTGCTGAATAGATCTGGTCACCATAATCAAGTTTCGATAAGATAAGGGTGGAATGTAGGTGAAGGAGGGTTCGACGATCAGCTCCCCATGAAAGATGAGCAAGGGTTTTAAGGAGGTTCAGCCGGCTGTGGCAAGTTGCCTTCAGAGAGGTACTGTGAGGTTTCCAGGATAACCTACGATCAAAGAGGAGGCCCAGAAACTTGACTATCACGTTCAGGGATACAGGAGCCATAGAGGTACAAAGGATGATCGGAGATGACAGAGCGTCTAGTGAAAGTAATTTGGTGGGTTTTAGTGCTGGAAAATTTAAACCCACGTGTGGTGGCCCAATTGGAAACACGGTCGACTGCATGCTGGAGAGAAACTGTAATAAGGTGACAGACAGCGCCTGCACAGGCAATAGCGAAGTCATCAACATAGAGTGATGACCAAATATTTGATGGAAGACTAGAGGCCAAATCATTAATAGCAAGGAGAAAAAGTGTTGTGCTCACCTTGGAGGCAGAGATGAGTAACTGCCATAGCATAAGGGAGACCTTCTGCCTCTTTGAGGTAACGGATTTCACGTTCATTTAAGTAGACCTGGCAACGTCAGGAGTACGAAGGGTGAGCTTCATTACAATTAAGGCAAGATGGAGGTTGACTGCAAGATGTATTAGAATGGTCGTTGGCACCACAGACTGGGCATTCGGCCATAGATCTGTAATATTTCGCTGGGTGACCAAAACGCCAGCAATTTCTACACTGTTGTGGTGTAGGTATCACCTTTCAAACTTGTAACCGATGTCCCGCGACATATACAGAGGACAGGAGTTCTCGGCTGTCAAAAGTTAAATGAGCCACATTGCAAGGGTAACGTCTCCGCCCACGGGCAGGAAGGACATAAGTGTCTACTTTGAGGATTGGGAGATCCTGGAGTTCCAGCTGTTCAAGAATGTCATTGCCACATGACTGGAAATTCTGTTGGACTATGGTATGGGGCAGAATGACAGTACCACTACAAGAATTGAGAGAAAGATGATTTTCAATAGTGATAGGAGTAGTATCGATATTCGAAAGGAGAGAAAGATCATGAGCTTGGGTAGCATTCTGGACAGTGACGATGCACGTACCGCTCTTGAGAGCATGAAATGAAATATCTCTACCAACATGACGCAGGAGGGCTTTGCCAATACTATGGTCAGAAAGGTAGGCAGAAGAAGAAGTCGGTCTTAAAGTAAAGAATTTAATCCATAGTGTTGTCCGAAACCGAGCGTGGAGAGGGAGTGCATGACGTGTCGGTCTTTTCCGAGTAGAATGGGAAGGTAATGAAGGAGCATCATCAGGAGATTGACGTTTAGGAGTAGGACTGGAGTTGGTCCGGTGTGAAATGGGCGGGCGATTCAAAAATTGCCGGACCCTAGAGGGAGAAGCCGGAAGCATAGTCAAAGGAGAGCGGAGTTCAGACAAATCGAAGGAGTCAGTCGAAGCCCCGGTACCTGAGGCGGGTGAGGAAACAGCACCAGCAAGAGGTACAGGGGCATCAGGAGTGTCCGAAGAGTGGTCTAAAAACAAGGCAGGGTCAGAATGGGGTGTGGTATCAAGAAGGGGCCCAGGGGTAGTGGGTTCATGGATTGGGTTCTCCATGGTTAGGTTACTCCCTTGCTTTTTGTTTTTAAGAAAAAAAAAAGAAAAAAAATAAAAATAAAAAAAAGAATAAAAAAAGGGGGGAGCGGGGAGGAATAGTTCCCAGGAGGAATGAAAGGACTGGAAATCTCCCTCCACGCCCAAGAGGACCTCAGCACCGCTAATAGCGCAGATGCAGCATTGAACCCATGCCATACCCTACCCTTCATGCCAGTAAACCAGCAATTTGGGATAGCAACCTCACATCTGCCGAGCTACCTCGGTGGACAAGAGAGGGCGGCCGGATATCCGCCACAAAGCATACCTCCTTCGGCCACCACCCCCAGAATCCAAAAGGTGGTTTCCAGAGATACACCCATCGCCCGAAAGACACCCAAAGCTACTCTGGGATACTGGAGAGGGATCGGGACATCCCCAGGCAATCCAGATTCCACGGCAAACTACGCCACCGCCAAGAACCTCAACGGAATGGGATGGACCCCGGTATCCTTTCCCCTACCTAGGAACTAGCGCGCCTGTAGGAGAAATCCCAAAGGCCAAAAAGAGGAAGGGCAAAAGGGAGGGGTGGGGAGGAGGAAAGAAAAAAGGGGAGGATGGGATAGGGAGGGGGGGATTGGGGGTAATTAGGTTCGGTCTGAGGAAGGAGACCAACAGGTCTGATTCCTCAGACCAAGAGTCTCTTCACCACAACAAGGACCCCCCCCCCTTGAAGAGGACACTGGCCAGAAATCTATGAAAAAGTGGAGGTCTTGTCTTACTGTATGGGCCTGACGGAGGTGGTCATCTACGGTACATCGAGGTGCCTCCACCAGATTTCCCCAGATCTCGTATGCGAGGACACGTAGGGGGCGCCGCCTGCTGATCATGGTACATCTTGTCCAGGTGATCTCTGGTCATAGAAGAGAGCTGGAGTCTTCGAGACCCGCGCCTCGTCGTTCAAACTTGGGCTGCCAGTTCTCCCTAGCTAACTCAACCTAGCGTTTGCCTACATTATCGGCCTATTACTACTATGTTAAAGGTCTTAGGTCTACATTATTATCTACAGTTGCCTCAATAATCCTAATATTAGTGTACTAACAGTAAAACTACCTACTTCTTTCCTGAAGGGTAAATCTTTCAATTAAGAAGTACCTACCATCCACCTATGCCAAACCGGGAGTGTGTGTTTTTGTTTTTGGGTGGGTGTAAGGGCCCTCAAACGGTGTGTTTTTCCCCATTGGGACTTCTCGGACCGAATAAGTTCCAACACTGTGGTTCGTGAGCTTGCGTGCGCCAGCAGAAACAGCCTGGTTGATCAGTGTTCACGGTGACCCCCCTGGTAACCTAGTCCAAACAAACCCGGAATCAATTAGTCCCAAGGAACAAAATTCGAGGTCAAGCAGCACCCACCATAGGATAAAAAAAAAACAGTCAACATTTCACACGTTTATTGCATACCATGTGACAATATTAATACTGGCAATAGATTGCTAAAATCCTTAAAAGCCATTCCAAGGGGCAACATCATTATCATATCTAACAAAAATCACAGACAATAACCTCGTACGCTGGGACAAGGTGGCCTAGGCAGTTAAGGGAAAGGGAATGATGATGACTAAGGGGGTTCGATTTAAGGGGGTGACAATGGGAGTTAGTGCGTAAGGGAGAAAAGTGATTTTATTAAGGGGTATGGAGGGACTCGGAGGCGAAGTAGGGGGGAAAAAATATGCGAAGGAGATATTGTAGTGGGTAAAGGGGAATGGTAGGAAAGAAAGGGAACCTTTGAAGAAATTGAAAATTCTAAGACAAATGCCAGACTCAGAGGAGTGATGAGAAAAGATTCTAGGTCAGGAAGATCCTGGAAGCTCCAGGAATATTGTACGAACAGAGAAAAAGCTCATAGGAACCGAGGACACGAAACAAGGAAAGGATACGGGGAATGAGGAAACGAAACGGGGAATGAGGAAACGAAACGGGGAATGAAACGAAATGGGGAACGGGGAATGAGGAAACGAAACGGAATGAAACGAAATGGGGGACGAAACAGGAAACGAGTAAACAAAATTGGGAACGAGGAAACTAAACGGGGAACGAGGAAGCGAAACGGGGAACGAGGGAACTAAACAGGAACCGAAGAAACGAAACGGGGACCGAGAAACGAGTACAGGCATTATAGATTAAGAAATATTTTCTGGTACAAATGTTTAAAAGTGAGATGTGACATTTTTTAAGGGATAAATTTTAAGGGATGATTAAACTGATGGGGAGAGGTAAGGAATATGGAAATTTTTTATAGAGCAATACCAAAGATTATGGAAGGGAATTAATGAAATTTCAGTCTTGGGTTCGGTAGAGAAAGTGTAAACAACGTGTACGAGAACTTGATAAGTCATCTGAACTTCACTTACAACTAATAGAATTAAATACTAAATTTATAATCTACATTTGTTTAGGAGCAAACTACACGAATTAACTAAATATTTGTTAAAACAAGCGCACTATCAAGCAAGGAATAGATGAAAAAGGTCGCTTTGCCAAACAAGCAAAATACATGTAGCCTTGTGAACTTAACGAGTTACAAATAATACTTAAACAATGCTGTGGGCAGCTGAGAATAAATAACAGTAATGAAAGCAAAGATATGAAACTAAATTATAAATAAGAAACAACAGTTTTAATACATTGACGAAGCTTGGCAGTAATAAGGAACAGTGACTTAAGTCAGAGGAAACAATACTTAGTCTTACATAAAGGTTTGTATACTGTATCATTGACCAACAAATTAATAAAGACAGTTTAAATCCTTTATACCATCGTCACTTGTTTTCTATAAATAAGTGTGTGAGAACTTATATTCAAAATATAAATAGGTGTTGGATACCTCTAATGACTATTTTCAAGGGTTTAATCCTCTAAATGACTGTGTTGGAGGTATTAAAATACTCTGTTGACTGTTTTAAGGAGTTGAATCACATTTATCTAGGCCACATCAACCCAACATAGGTTCGTCATATAATATATATACACATACACATTTAAAAGTATTTACATTAAATTAAAGGCCTATAAACGACGGATGAGAGATGGTAGAAAATACAGCATTGGTCCAAAAAAAAAAAAAGCAGGAAAAATGAAGTTTTAAATTATGAAGGCTGGTGACCACAGAAGTTGACAATTTAGGATGGATCTATTTCACTGGTCAAGCTTTTGATACTAACAGATTATAGTAGTATAATATATTATACTAATGTATCTACATTGCAACTCAATGGCCCAGCCACCTCACAATGTTTTGGTAAATTTGTACACAAACTAATGAAAAAAACGAAGAAATCTTAAACATTTGAGATCTGGGACTCGTGTTCCACAGATCAGTTTAGGTAAAACTTCTAAATAACCAAGTTCAGATACATAACAATTTTAATATAGAAATATATAAGATTTATTTTAGCAGATTCTCTCTATATTTCATATTTGTTAAAACGATCATTGAGTCTCACGTTTTTAAAAATATCGCATTTCAACATATAAAAAAATATACTTGGGATGCTCAGACGCGTCCAAAATGTATATAGAATTAAAATCCTGTGAAACAGGCTTTCAAAATTCTCTTTGAAGTAACAAGTTAGCGGAACTCGAGTTATACACGTTAAGGACCAGAATGTTTCTGGTCAAGCCATGTGATGGGAGGATGTATGTGCCTTTTACTGGGTATCTACTGTAAGAATATTTACGTTCTTAAGGTGCAACTGACGTGATATTTTATTATGGCAACGTTTCGCTCTCTAGTTTTGTTAGCTGTTACGGCTTGACAAGGCTTCTGGAGAGCGAAACGTCGCCTCAATAAATTGTCGCATTAGTTACATTTGTGTGCTTTACATTGTCGGTAATTCTACCAACTTATTGCAATATTTAGGATGTTAAGGCCTGAAAGTCCATGGGGGAGAGTAATTAAAAATAATTTCGTCGAATAGGCTGGGCAACAATAGACCTGCAAAATTATTCTGCAAAATACTACTACGAGGTGTAACGGAAATCCATGGAATAGGCTGACAAATGGAAACGAATCCACGATATACTGAGGTCTGAAGTTCCTGTGGGAAATTGAACAATAAGAATCCAGAAGTATTGCCTGTGGTTAAGAATAAACTGAAGGTGATCTGCAAGAGGAACCCACAGGAATCTGAGGGACAGACGATGTTTCTGTGGTACAAGGACGCATTTCTCAGATAAAACTGGATTTTCTCCATCAGTTTTCGGTTTAGGGGAGGAGGGATAGAGTATGGACAGTGAGCGAGAGGGAGAAAGTGGTGAAGAATGGGAAATACTGAAAAAGATTGAATGGTTTTGCATTATTCTAGCTGAAGAGAGACCTTAAGAATGGGGGAATTGGGAATGGGAATCGAAGGGGGTTGTTCTGCAGCAGTGAAGGTGGTGGGGGTCGGAATACTGGCCCGGTGGGGGGTATAGGTCTTCCACGTGGGGGTACAGGTGGCTGAGGTTGTGGTGGGGGTGGTGGTGGGGGCGGTGTGAGCCCCTCATTGAACACACTGACAGAGGGTGGGCGGGGTGCGGGTGGCAGGGCGGCAGTGGCTTGTGATGGGCGGTTAGGATCCAAGATGTTCCCGCACTGCGCCCGGCATACATTGTCTCGGAGAATTTCGTCCAGTCCAAAGCGAGATCTCAGCTCAAAGCAGTTGACCTTGAGGGTCTGGCACTGCTCTCCTGAGGTGGTGCAGGTGCAGAGGGTGCAGGGCGTAGGCGTGCGGGTCTCGCCCACGCCCACCGCCTGGTTGCCAATGATGCAAGTGTTCGAATCTCGCCACTCCTGCAGGTTGACTCTGGCAACGGCTCCGCATGGCACACGTGGATTCCTGTACGTTAAAACGAAACTCAAATCAGTTTTGAAGTTAAGTTCCAAAGGGAGTCAGGGAGCAACAGGTGTTAAATAAGGCATCAAATTTAGATAAACTATGACAAAAGTCTAAACTGGATCAAGGTGCTACGATTAACATGATCAGGGTAGATCAATGAAAAAAACATGTAAATTATTATATATATATATATATATATATATATATATATATAATATATATATATATATATATATATATATATAAATATATATAATAATAATATATATATATATATATATATAAACTGCCTCCCTTCTCTTAGCTCCTGTAATTTCTACTTCAAATTCCCTGCCCCTTCTTTCCAACCAGCACTGCTTCCTTCCTTTAATATCCCTCCCTCAGCCTCTCCCAGTCTATCTCCTGCCTTCCTCTCCTCCAGTATGGATACTCACAAGAAGTCATGTGGCATGTCAAAGACGCCTCTCTGGATCTGCTCGACAACATCACAGTTTTGGCAGATGAGTGACGCCATCGTCACCTGCCTGATCTCACTTAGCTGCTTCTCAGTGAAGGCCACGTTGGGATTCGAAGTCTCGTACCTAGAGGACACAAACCCTCTTTAACGGTCACACCAATTACCAGGAGAGTAAACCACTTAACATATTTAAACCCATAAAAATATATCTACATATCTCTCTCACTGGAGGTAGTAAAATTATTACCGGTATGTTCTGTCTAACTGAAGTATTTGGCCACATAACTGGGAGCTTCAGAAGGACAATTTAGTAAAAGATAAGACTTACAAGGGGAATAATGCTGATTTTATCATTTAAATCGAACACGAATTCTCTAAAAATTCTGTCCAAATGATTGTACTGAAGCTTACCAGAATCTGTCACATTTTCTGGCGAAGGAGAACTGTAGTCCTATGATGCAGCCGAATGTGGGGCCGATGATACCTCCTTGTAGGGGAGTCTCACAGAGTCCTCCGGTGAAGAGATCTATGTCCTCAACACTAGAGTATACCTGTACAGCAAATAAACAATCAGCAGGTGCAGCAACGGCCACAATAAAAGCAGCAGCAGGAGAAACAAGATTGTCAGTTGTTTTTTTAAACCTGTGTCCTTCAATCCCAGCCAACCCCAGCTCCTTCGGTCTAATTCCCGAGTCTTCCTTCTTTCCTTTGAATAACTCTTGTTACGCTGTTACTGGGTGTTATTCATTGCGCTCTCCAGTACTGCAGGTTTGCAATGGAAGTACTGGAGTTCGTAATGAAACCTAACTCCATATTAATCCACCTAACCCGAGATCAATAAAACTAATCCCAACCAAGCCCAACTTCTACTTACCCTTTGCAACTTTTCAATCAGTTCTGGCTTAATTTCCCTGCTGAGGTCAGTGAAAGTTCTAGCTCGCTTGAGATTACAGATAGCCCTGTACTCGTTGTAGGGTCGAATTCCATGTTCTCGCGCTCGCTGGATGTTCAGTGCAGCGAGGTCGAGACCCGAGAAGGGAATGGTAGCGTCCTCGAAGAGATGATTAGTAATCTCTTCAGTGAGGAAGTTGTCTAGCGTTTCCATGGGTGTGGAGATCATTCCTCGTACCAATTCGTCTATCATCTGGAATTCCAGCCTGTTGGGGAAAGAGCAGTTATGGAAAGCTTACACAACAGACTTGCTCAACGATGCATATATGTCGTACACTGCATCCATGGGGAAGTGTTTAGCTCTTAAGGGTCATACAGCATCCAGGAAGTAATTGGAGTGATACAAAAACAAAAATTGCAGGTTCCTCACAACAGACCACTACTTCTCACAAGCCTGGCAATTGAAGAACAGTGTGTCTACTCACAACGTTGAAGATTCTCTTAAAAGACTGAAATTATTCAACAGAAGGGCACTTCTCATTTCAGCCTAGAACTTTATAGTCATTACTAATTAAGCTCTACAGAGCGAATCGCTGACCCAGTCAAAGCTGGCAATATAACTTGTGTTCTCCAAGTTAGAATCTTTCTGCTATAATCTACCGTCCCAAGTACTGTACCAGGTAAGAGTAATTTCTCACAAGAACTTGCACTACTCACAGCATGTCCGGATTAAAGAAACTTCGGCGTAGTTCTACTCCGTCGTGGTTCTCGCTGAAGGAGGTGTCCATACGTAGCAAAGACCTGCGGATCAAGGAATGACCGAAACGGAATGCAGCAGAGGCGAACTCGTTCAGGACACCAGGGTTGCAGTTCCCATCATACTCTGTCAGGGAAGATGGGTGGGGATTAGTGATGGGGGTTGGGGAGAGGAGGGATTGGAAGTCGTCATTAAAAGAGAAGAGTAGAGGCATGGGAAAGCGTGAGGAAAAGAATAGATTTGAGGATGTGTGTTGGAAATTGAAGTGTCGAGGCCTGGTCATGGACCGGGCCCCCAGAACACCCTCCAGGTATACTCCAGGTCCCTCGTAATTTTGGTAGGAGACAAGGGGGAAGGACCACAAGTTAAATGACTGTAGAAGTCTGTAGAGATTAAAGCACATACTCGTCCCCTTCCTTCACCCCCCTGAAAAACATCCCCAGGAGTCTTTATTCGAACCCGAAAACTCATCTACCTGGAGGGTATTGCGGGGATCGAAGCCTCCGCGACCTGGTTCATGACCAAGCCTCCTGGTGGATCAGGGCCTGATCGACCAGGCCTCCTGGTGGATCAGGGCCTGATCAACGAGGCTGTTACTGCTGGTCGCACGTAGTCCAACTAGGACTACGCGACAGGGAGAGCAAGAGGCCTCTGTAGCAACTTGAAAAATACAGTACTGAGAGAACACTCATAGTATTTATATAGTGGAGAAGAACGATGGAAAGACACACTGAAGACGACAGTGTAACAAGAAATTGTAACAATTGTTACAAAAAACGGAGAATTTAGAAAATATTTTAGATTAAACGCCGAAGATGGGACACAACAGACACCATCCCCCCCCTCCCCAGCGCCTACACAAAGACGACCCAAACCCCTCTTCCATCCACTCAGTAGTAGTAGCACAGCAATACTGAACACCAGTACTCGCCTCCATAAAATCCCTCGGGCTTCAGTGTGAGAGAGTAGAGCCTCATGGCGTTCCAGCCCAGGACGCGGGGAAGAAACTCGTTGAAGACGACATGTTGCCACTCTCCTATCACGATCCTTCTCGCCTCCTGGTACAGCCGTTCGTCGTCCCAATGTGGATTTATCTGGATTGGAAAAACTGGTTAAGAAACATTTCTCTAGTATTTATTTAAACTAAAAAAAAAGTGGTTGAGCGAGAGGTGTTTGTGCAGGAAAGGCAATTATCCTTCCTGTAGGGTATGGTGGTAAGGTTTAACTTTAATTTTCACAATTAGTGAACCTTTTCACACACACACACACACACACACACACAACACACACACACACACACACACACACACACACACACACACACACACACACACACATTTACCAGTGCATCCATTCATATATTAATTTACTTATCCACCCAGAAATCCACAACTTGGCGATTCACCCCCTTAGGCTACCCTGGAATCTTATCGGCTAACGCGACGGGCTGGAGTTTTGAGACTATGACCGCGGGTTCAATCCCGGCCGGGGGTATGGCTTATCGGGGGGATTTATAGCAACAGTCGAGTTGCCTCCTATTTCAGATGTAGATATTAATGGATTTATACATCCATCCATTAAGAATAAATCTAAATACCGTAACTAAAACAAATTACAACCCACAAATTTTTAAGTAAAACCTGCATGGTTTATCGGTATGCCGTAGGCCTGCCGTCTACTTGCCAGTCATCCAACAACCGGACAATATACGTAAACTAATTGTTTATTGATCAATACAAAAACGGAAACTGCCTTTCATGTTGCTTGTGCACTAACCTCAGCCAGACCATCAGCAATCCTGTTGTGTTCCCTCATCCAGATGGTATGAACCACAGCCAGACCTGGTTGCTCCGAGGACCTTGTGTCGCCTGCCATGAAACACCGACCAGAGTCCGCCTTGCACTCCGGCACTCCTGTTGACTGCACGGGGTTTAAGAGGCATTAGAATACCATGGAAGATTGGTGGGGAAAGTTAGGTGGAGAGTTGAAAATGTTGAAAAATGATCTAGGGAGAGTCTGGAAGATAAATGACATGCTCTGGGAGACTGGTGTTTAAATGACATGCCTTGAGGTGAGGTGCAGATACATGTACGTGTCACAGAAAATATCTGTGCACTTCTAAAGGAGAAAATATAGCAGAATAGTGAACCGGGTTCCGAAAGAATATATAACCATTAGGAATTTAGGTAAATGATAGATTGGACGCTAAAGAAGAGAGACTACGAGCGAAGGTCTGTATATGAACGTTATACAATACCAACAAATGAAGAATTAGACATTTGCAACATCTTAAAGATACCCAGATGTTGCATGTGTGTAATTGAACATAGATCTACTCCTGCAGCTGAAAATAAGTTAGCACAAGTGAGGTACCTGGGGCAGGAGAGGCTTGCCACGGATGGGATGACTAGTGACATTCAGGTGACCATTCTGGTTGGTTCGTAGTTCTCGGGCGCTACACAGCTCCTGACCGTAGATATGCGAAGCGTCGAGATACGCAGTGTTCTGGTTGATCTGTTCTCGTGCTCCAAGTGTCTGCTGACCCGGCAATGACCTGCGACAAAGTAGCAGTCAGAAAGAGGATCTGATGCACATAAGGTTAAGAAACTTTGAAGGAGGTTCAATAACACTGACTCGGTAGAGTACTCGGAACTTTTGGCAAAAGAAAACAAGTGCAACACACACACACACACACCTTCACCTCAGGTAAAACTAAATAAAACATAAACCAACACATATAAAACACGAAAGTAATATCATACAAAATTTAAATATGTGATGAATAGTTTGAAAAACCGACAAGTTGAAGATTGAGACACTTATGCAACATATGGGAATCTTTATTCAGGAAACGTTTCGCTACACAATGGCTTCATCAGTCCAATACAAAGTAGAAGGTGCAAGGAGAGGAGGAGTTTGAGGTAATCAGTCCCTCAGCCTGGAGTCGATGTGTTCAGTCCATCAATCTTGTAGAAAGTACAGCATAGGGCCGTAGACGTGGCTTATTACTGAAATTAAGACACATGTGCAACATCTGGGTATCTTTATTGCAGACGTTTCGCCATCCAGTGGCTTTATCAATACAAATTCCAGGACACAACTTGAAGACAGTAGAACTATATACAGAAGAACCTCATCTTTTTCAATTCAAGTTCAAAGTTTATTCTCTATAAGGATTACAATGCTGAGTTTACAGAATTTGGTTATTGTGTGGTTTACATGTAGTAAAATAATGATTACAGAGTGTACCACTAGAACACCTAGCATGGCTAGGCATTTCGGGCAGACTTAGTTTAAATCTTAATTTTAAAATATTACAAATTATGAGGTAAGTTGGTATTATGGCTAAGTGACTAAATACTAGTTTGTGAGTTTAGCAATGTGAATGCTTTTGTTTTGGCACAGTACATAGTTTCAGTATTGGAGTATCACAGGATTCATTATTTTAAGATTGAGGTTAATATTTCTGTTTATGGTCAAATGAGTGAGTGTAAGTGTGAACCACCAGGTGGTATTCGTGTAGTTAGTTGATGGGGTGTATCAGGGAGATAAGATGTTTTAATGGTAGTTTTGAATCTTCTGTATATAGTCCTACTGTCTTCAAGTTATGTCCTGGAATTTGTATTGATAAAGCCACTGGATGGCGAAACGTCTACAATAAAGATACCCAGATGTTGCACATGCGTCTTAATTTCATCTTGTCGGTATTATATACCATTCCTGCACGGCTTATATACTGTAGTCAGGTGAGGCGAAGCAGGAGGAGGCGGGGTCATAGTGGTACCATCCACTAGTCGAAGTAGGTCTTCGTCCAAAGGTTGGACAAGTGTTGAAGAATACTTTGTGACAAGATACCATGATGCTGCAGTGTCTGACGAAGACCTACTTCGACTAGTGGATGGTACCACTATGACCCCGCCTCCTCCTACTTTGCCTCGCCTGACTACAGTATATAAGCCACGTCTACGGCCCTATGCTGTACTTTCTACAAGATTGATGGACTGAACACATCGACTCCAGGCTGAGGGACTGATTACCTCAAACTCCTCCTCTCCTTACACCTTCTGCTTTGTATTGGACTGATGAAGCCACTGTGTGGCGAAACGTTTCCTGAATAAAGATTCTCATATGTTGCACAAGTGTCTCAATCTTCAAAATTCAAATAACCCACATCATTTAAAACATTGAGTAGACAATATCAAAAGACACTACTTGTAAGTTCTGAAAGACATTTTGATAAGGGAATCACAAACTTATCAACAAACCGCAGAGGTAAACTAGGCGTAGGAAAAAATAGAACAGATAACATTGTTGCCACACTGTGTTGGGCTCACCTGGTGAAGGCGATGCAGAAAGGTCTTCCTGAAGAGATGTTGACTGAGGGATAGAAAGGATCGTTGTCGGGGACTGGGATGGGTAAACACTCGGGGTGAACTCTTTGTTGCGCTTCACAGTCCCTGCAGTCCAGAATGGAATTCTGGAAACCTTTGTTGACGGGAGTGAAGGTAATGTCGTGATCAAGGAATTGTCCAAATTGCATCACCATGAGGGTGTAGCGGGCGTGCAGGTGAGAGATGTCGTTGTGAATGGTGGTGGAGATGGTGCGGGGGGAAGGCAGACTCTCGCCAGAGACTGAGCGTTTCCGAGGCTCTGAGATGCTGTCGTCATACCCAGCTGGGAGCATGCGCGCAAACACTGTGTTGGAGCGACCAAAGTCTGGACGTCGGAGGTTGTTACAATGGCCGCTGATGGTTCTGAAGCGATTGCGGGCATTACAGGCTCTGTGTTCCTCAGTTTCCCGACACGAACGGATGAGAGGCGCAGGAGGGACAAGACCAGAGATATCGACGGAGGGCAAGTTGATATCGAAGGAATCGAACTCATTGCCGAGACCTTGGATCTGTCGACGGACTCTGCGGTCATGCATGATAGTAATAAGCTCTTGACTAGTGGCCTCCAGTAACACCGAAGTGTTGGCTAAGATCAGTGAAGTCGGGTTGGGTTTGTTATTAGCATAGGCAGACCCAACAGGTGATTTCGAGCCGGCCACCAAACCTTGCTCGAAGATTAACTTTTCCATTTGCCTTCGCTTCTCCACGGCTTGTTTTCCTTTTTGAACTACGCTGTGTAGTATGTCTTCATCGACCACGACCTTTCCCCGAGTCTTCCAGATGCCCAAATCAATGTTATCAAAGGTGTGGCATGGAACTGGAGCATTTAGGAACTGGTCTGCTGCCAGGAAGGCAGACATGGTGACCTCTTCCAGTCCTGGTACATTGTTGCACAACAAGCGACCCACTGACGACTTGCGGATCTCAAAGAGTTGTTCTTTGCTGAAGGCTGCTGGAGGAACATCATTCTCGTACCAATACCTATCTGTCTGCCGGAGCACTTTGAACTGGAGAGCGAGGAGGCAAGAGGCTGTGGGGCCTACCAGCGCTCCTTCCTGCGGCCGTTCAGAGATGATGCCGGTAAAGAGATCGATATCGGCCACATTGACGTAAATTGACTGAAGGCGAGCGATGTTTTCCCTGTTCATAGTGTCTTGGAGGTCATCGAAGGTATGAGCGGGTCGGCGCCCACAGAGAGGACGCCATACTACGTAAGGGGGAAGTCCATGATCACGGCCACTCTGAACCCTTCGTGCCACTAAGTCCACGCCACCCAAGTATCCACGAATAGAGTCACTGACGGCTGGATCAAAAGTCAGAGAGTTGGAGTTAACTAGACCACGGATGAGGTCTTCGTAAGCACCGGGTTGGTACAAGACCGACATGTTGAGGGCGGTGGTAGCTAGTGGCAACAGATCGTGGCCGAGGGATAGCTGGTCTGGCAACAGCGTCAGCACCAGCTGTAGAGGGGCTGGGGGGCCACGGAGTTAAAAAACCCCGGGGTTTCCCCACTTTAAATTTTTCATAGTTGTGGTAAACCCCTGTCCAAACATGATTTTCGTCTCCTGACGGGCTGGGCGAAAAATTTTACATTAACGGGGGAATTTAAATCAAACTCAGAGAACCTGGCCCTGGTTTTACCACCCGAACTAAAAAAATAATCCCTCCTAGGAACATGAATTACCATCTATTTCTGGGGCCGTAACCACAACAGGGCTACGTTTGCTATGTAGTAAAGGGCAGAAACCGACGGGTTTTGATAAATTAGACATTGAAACCCACCTGGTATCCTTTTTGGGGAAAACGTTTTGCCTCACAGTGATTAAATAAATTTCCAGTCAAAAAAAATTTTTAAAGTTCGGGTAGAAAGTTTGATGTAATCAGTCCCTCAGTTTTTTCCCCAAGGGAGTGATAAAATTGATTACATCGATTTCCGGGCCGGGGGGACGACAACCTCGGAATCCTCCTTTTTTTTTTTTCCACCTTTCTCCTTTGAAACGGGAACTGATGAAGCCACTGCTTTGGGAAAAACAAATTCCACATAAGATACCCAATTGCTCAAGAAACTAAAAAACTAGAAAAGTTAAACCCCGGGGGGGGAATTTGAACCGCTGGATTAGTTTTTTACAGCCCCCCTTCCCCGCGATTTCCCAATCCCCACCATTTTACCGGGTTTGTTTGAAAATCGTATGACGTTTTCATGATTCACGTACCCGGGGTGCCCAGGAAGGGGGCGGGAACTCCCTGTAAGAAAGGGGGTGGATTGGGCGATGACTATGGTCTGGCCCCGTGGAAGCGTCCCGTCCCCCCCCGGGGTTTTGAGTTCGGAAAAGCTTCGCCGCTATGGGTTTGGTTTTCCCCCCCGGAACCAACAGCGTCTGTAAGGCTGCTAGCCCGGGGTAGGTTCGGGCGTAGGTCACCACCTTTGGAAGCACCTTTTTGAAGGTAAAGTTAAGAAAAGGATAAATAGGTGATTTTTAAGCACTTGCGGGACAAAAAATTAGGTAAGATTTAACGCAAAAACCAGCCCCCAGGGGGAAAACTTACGAGTTACGGGGGGGACTTAGACCTTTAAACCCCAGTCAAAAATTTTTTTGTGTATTGTTCCACTCACGGTATTTTTGGGGTTTTTTACCTGGGGGGTTTACCCTCCCAGGATAATCCAATCAAGTAAAGCGTAAACCGAACACTGTCTTATTTCCGTGGGGGGCCCCTTTAATTTTGTACCCCAGGAGGGCGACCCACCCCCGCCGAGAAAACACACAGGTACATATTAAATTTCCTAGGTAAAAAAGGGTCAATTTTTCCACCCATCCCGGGGAATTTGAACCAGGGGACACACATGGAATGGTGCGCTGTAAATTAAACCGGGGATTAGGAGTAAATTTTGCAGAGTGGAAAGCAGCAATTTGGGGAAATAGTTGGAACACGGGCACAACACTACACATCCTACACACACAAACCCCAGCCCAACACAAAGACATAAATAACAAAAAGCCAAAATACCGTGACTGAACGTACACAAAAAAACCCACACTTTAAAAAGGAGAAAAAGTTTACAAACGACGTTTCGGCCCGATTTGGGGATTTTAAAAAAGGTCCAAGTCGGACCAAAAACGTCGTCGAAAGCTTCTCTTTTTTTATGTGGGGTTTTATTTGTTAACACTAGCACATACCTAAAACCACACACACAATTTTCCCAGAGAGGACACAGAAAAAAGGGGGGTCACAATTGGAATTTTGAAGCCCCGGACGGGTTAAAAAGGGAATGTTAGGAAGTTTTTCTTCAGAGTTGTCGGGAAAGTGGAAAAATACCCTACAAGTGAGGTAGTGGAGGCAGGAACCAAACTTGCTTTAAAAAAGGGTATGAAAAAAGTTCATGGAAAAAGGGGGAGAGAGAATTATAGCACTCTTTAAAGGGGCGGGCCCGGGGGCTGAGTCCGACCCCTGAAAACCCCAAATTAGGCTGTTCAAGAAATTTAAAATCGTAAATGAAACCTTCAAAAATCCGATAGAAAATAAAATTTCAAAGTAACTTCGTGTTCTTTTAATTACATTCTCTGTGAAAAACTGTTTCAAGGGCTCACTAATGAAATTTTTACTGAACAAGGGACTTTAAGGGAAATTTAATTACCATTAACCGATTAAATTTGGGGTAGGGTTTGCCCGCTGTGATCTAACCCTCCCAACATACGACCATACGTACCCTTGTAACCACTCCCAAAAAACATATACCCCTAGTCGCCCGTGCTACGTACATCATAGCGTCCTTGAAAGTGTGTGACGCGTTTCGGGGCAGCAGCCAGTCGGTTTGCGTTTTAAAGGGTGCCCCTTTTTTTAAAACAATCTTAACGAGCCCGACTCTTTTCTTGGACGATCCGTACCCCCAGAGCCGTCCGGAACGCCGTCGCGCCGTTAAATTTTGCTCGCAAAACGCCTGAGGGAATGAAAATTGGGGAAGAGGGGAAATTTAAAAGGGTGTCTAGGTTATTGGGGGAAAGTGTGGAAATAGGGGGGATTTAAAGGGATTTTTGGGGGAACAAAAGGGGGACTGGAATGACGGGGGGGACTGGGGAACGAGGGGGGGAACTGGAAATGACGGGGGGGACTGGGGAACAAAGGGGGGGAGGAAGGGACGGGGAGGACGTGGAACGACGGGGGGGACTGGAAGGGTTTGGGGGGGACTGGGAACGAGGGGGGGACGGGGAAAATAAGGGGGAGGATTTGGAAAAAACAAAGGGGAAAGGGTTTGGTAAAGTCCCATACTGGCCCAAAGGAATTTTTCACTAGCAGAGAGAACTGGGGGAATGAAGAGGGGGGTTTGAGGGAACGGCTGGGAAACTGGGGAAAACAAAACAGGGGAAAACTGGAAGGACGGTAGTGAATAGGGGAACGATAATAAAAATTAAAGGGGAAGTAAAAGGGATCAAAAACAGAACAAATAACTTGGATTAAAACAAATTTACAATTGTGTAAAAAAAATTCAAAAGACGGGTTGAAAAAAAAAAAAAAATAAAAATTTAATGGGTAGAAATTGTCTTTAAATGCCCCGCTTTTTGATGCCCTTTTTCGTGCTAACAGTATTTTTTACAGGTATACTACCTTATACATCAAAATCTTTTGTAGTTACCCAGAGCACAATCAGTGGGGGTTGGCAGGCGCGGTTCCTGGCGTACTCCCAGCACAGATCCCCAATCGTGGGGGGAAAAGCACTGGGGGAGGGGTTGACCACCGGTCCAAACACCGAAGCTGAAAAAAAAAATTTTAATTTACAGAAAACATTTTTTCCAGTAAAGAAAAAAAAAGGGCACAATACTGGGGACTGGAACAATACAAAAATTTAACCTTTTTACAAAGAACAAAAAGTTTCGGTCCGCCCAGGGTTTTATTTTACAAAGGAAAAATTTTTTGGGGAAAAACCCCCCTTTTTTAAAAAAATTTTAAAAAAAAATTGGTTTTTTTTTTTAAAAAAAATTTTTTGGGGGGCCCCCCACCAAAATTTTTTAAATTTGTTTTTTAAAAAATTACTGAACAAAAAAAAAAAAAACACCAAAAAAATTTAAAAAAAAAAACCTTTTAAAAAAAAACCCCCAAAAAAAAAAAAACCCCAAAATTTTAAAAAAAAAAAAAAAAAAACCCCAAAAAAAAAAACAATTTAAAAACAAAAAAAAACCAAAAAAAAACCTAAAAAAAACAAAACAATTTAAAAAACAAAAAAAACCTTTAAAAAAAAAAAAAAACTTAAAAAATTTCAAAACAAAAACAAAAATTTCAAAACAAAAAAAAAATTTTAAAAAAAAAAAAAACAACAAAAAACAAAATTAAAAAAAATTTTTAAAAAAAACTGACAACTTAATTTTACAACAACCCAAAAATTTTTTAAAAAAAAAAACACTAACAACTTACAAAAAACCCCAAAAAAAAAAAAAAAAAACCAAAAAAATGTACAAAAACACTAACAATTTAAAAGTACAACAAAAAAAAAATTTTCATGGACAAACCCCAAAAAAACCTTTTAAAAAAAACAAAAAAAAAAAACACCAAAAAAAAAACACAAAATTTTTAAAAAAAAAAAACTAACAACTTACATTAAAAAAAAAATTTTTTAAAAAAAAAAAATTAATTAAAAAAAAAAAATTTAATTAAAAAACAAAAAAAAATTTTAAAAAAAAAAACAAATTAAAAATTAAAAAAACAAACCCAAAAAAAAAACAACAAAACAAAACTTAAAAACAAAAAAATTTCAAAAAAAACAAAACAAAAAAAAAAAAAAAAAAACAAAAAAAACAAAAAAAAAAAAATTAAAAAAAAAAAACAAAACAATTAAAAAACCAAATTAAAAATTTCAAAAACCAAAAAAAACCCCAAAAAAAAAAAACTTAAAAAAAAAACCCAAAAATTAAACCCAAAAATAAAACCAAAAAAAAAAAATTTAAAAAAAAAAACCCAAAAAACAACCAAAAAAAAAAAAAACTTAAAAAAAAAAATTTTTAAAAAAAAAAAAAAACCAAAAAACCTTAAAAAAAAAAAAAAAAAAACCAAAAAAAAAAAAAACCAAAAAAAAAAAAAATTTTTAAAAAAAAAAAAAACAAAAAAACAAACAACCCCTTTTCAACCCCCCCCCCATTAAAAACAAAAAAAATTTACAAAAAAAAAACTTAAAAATTTAAAAAACAAAAACTTTACAATTAAAAAAAAAACAAACAACCCTTTAAAAAAAAACAAAAAAAAAAACCAAAAAAAAAAAATTTAAAATTTTAAAAAAAAAAACCAAAAAAATTAAAACAAACCCCCAAAAAAAAAAAAAAACCAAAAATTTAAAAAAACAAAACCAAAAAAAATTTTAAAAAAAAAACAAAACTTAAAAAACAAAAAAACCAAAAAAAAACAAAACAAAAATTTTAAAAAAAAACCAAAAAAATTAAAAACAAAAACCAAATTTAAAAACAAAAATTTTTTAAAAAAAAAAAAAAAAAATGGACAAAAAACAAAAAAACCAAAAAAAAAATTTTACAACACACAAAAATTTTAAAAAAAAAAAAAAAAAACTTTTTAAAAAAAAAACCCCCCATTAAAAAAACCCAAATTTTTTTTTAAACCCAAAAAATTAAAAAACCCCAAAAAAAAAAAAAAAAAAAATTTTTTTAAAAAAAAAAAAAAATTTTTAAAAAAAAAAAAAAATTTTTTTTAAAAAACAAAAATAAAATTTAAATTTTAAAAAAATTTTTACATTAAAACCCCCCCCCAAAAAAAAAAAAATTTTTAAAACCCCCCCCCCAAAAAAAACCCAAAAAAAAAACCCCCAAAAAAACAAAAAAAAATTTTTTTTAAAAAAAAAAAAACCAAAAAAAATTTAAAAATTTTCCCCAAAACCCCCTTTAAAAAAAAATTTTTTTTTTTTTAATTTTAAAAAAAAAATTTAAAACCCAAAAAGGGGAAAATTTTAAAAAAAAAAAAAAATTTTTTTTAAATTTTCCCCTTTAAAATTTTTTTTAAAAATTTTTTAAAAAAATTTTTTTTTTAAAAAATTTTTTAAAAAAAAAAATTTTTT